CCTTACGGCGGTGACATGGTCAGCCAGGCTGGGTTTGTCCTGGGTCTGCCGCTCACTATGTGTCTGCGAGAAAGTCCCCCTCATCTTTCTGTGACTCGGTTTGGTTGTGTGTGAAAACGGGATGTAGTGGCATCTCTTCAGCCATCCCCTGGTGCTGTGGTGAAGAGAAAGTGGATCGGTGTACGCACGAAGCATGTGTAAGCTGGAAGGTTCTGGACAGAAAAAGGGTTGATGTCGCCACAACTGTGGCCTGGGCTGGGGCCTTCCCACACCCTCAAATCACACCTGAGTAGACGATGGCTGTGCGTAGAAGCCACCTCCTTTTTCTTTTTAAAGATAATTTTTAAATTTTGTTTTATATTTTTATTGATTTTGGAGAGAGGGAAGGAGAGGTGGGAGATAGAAACATTGATGAGAGAGGATCATTGATCAGATGCCTCTTACACTCCCCCCTCCCTCCCCGCCCCTGGGACCGAGCCCACACCGGAGCATGTGCCCTGAATGGGGAATCAAACTGTGACTCCTGGTTCACGGTCTGACGCCAGCCACTGAGCCACACCTGCCGGGCAGGAGCCACCTCCCTTTAGTCTCCCTGCTGGCAGGTCAGGATGTGCTGAGGTAAGCCCCGGTCTTCCCCCCTCCCCACAGCTGTCCCAGCATGCCTGGCAGGGCTGTACTGCCTCCTCCCTCTCCATCTGGAGATCGGCTGCAGCCTTTCAGGCCAAGAGCAAGTGGGATCCCTCCCAGGGGCTCAGATGGCCCAGCAGCCTCCTGACTGGCATCTGCCCTGCAGAGAGCTCTGGGTGTGGTGGGGCAGGCACCCATGGCCAAGTATCTGAGTGTCCTCAGCCTTAATTAGGAGTACAGCCTGCCCCTCGGCAGCACAGGAATCGCTATCATGCTTCAGATGAGGAAACTGAGGCCCTGGACATCAGAGCCAGCAAGTGGCTGAGTCTCAGTCACTCAAACCTAGGCCTCTTAAAAAATATAAATAAAAATAAAAATATAATACATATATATATATTTGTGTGTGTTTACACATATAATAGTATTTCAGAAAAAAATATATATATAATTTCAGACAAAGAAACGGAGAGTGAGAGAGAAACATCAATGATGAAAGACAATTTTTTATTTTTTTATTTTTATTTTTGTTTGTTTATTTATGATGAAAGACAATTTTTGATCGGCTGCCTCCTGCATGCCCCCACTGGGGATCGAGCCCACAACCTGGGTATGTGCCCTGATGAGGCATCGAACCGTGACCTCCTGGCTCATAGGTCAACACTCAGCCACTGAGCTACCCCAGCTGGACAAACCCAGGCCCCTTGATGCTGTGCACCGACCCACTCCAGGGCCGGCACACAGGCAGCTGCCTGGGTCCGCCTTGTTCCTGAGACTGAGGGAGCCGCTCTGGAATAAGCAGGCTCGCAGGGCAGGCCTCGGAGGCCAAGAACGTCCGGCCCCCTCAGCCTGCGCGGCCTGCAGGGTCTGCCCCGGACTCCTGTGAGCGGTTCTTCAGCCCTCGGACCGGGCCTGGATCCAGGAAGCAGGAGTAGCCACACTGCCTTGGGTTTGTCCCATTCGGTTTGAGGCGACCTGCTCATTTCCTGCGAGCGCCCTCTCTCCTGCCCCTAAACCGCGATGCCCATCATCGCTTTCCGACTGGCAGAGGAGGAGGCTGGTGTGAGAGCAGCCGGAGCCGGGTCTCAGGCGAGGGCAGCGCTGGGATGTGAGCCCAGGTCTGCGGGCCCCAAAGCCCATGCTCTAATATTGGGGTCTGGAATTATTGCACCCCGGGGCAATGAAGCCACGAGGGTCCCTGCAGGCGCTCCAGCGCCAGCGCCTCCTCTCCCACCCTGTGGCCCATCTCTGCTCCTCCCCTCCGTCCCCCCTCTCCTGGGATCCCCAGAAGGACCTGCCAGGCAGGGGAAGGCACTCCCTCTGCAGGTGCTGTGCTGAGGACGGTGGTGTTTGCTCAGCCTGCACCTGCCACGGCCCCGCCGTTTCCCGGCTGGCGGAAGCTCAAGTTCCGCGTGGGCCCCGGAAGCGTGGGGCTCCAGGCCAGCCACCTGCCCAGGTGCCGCTGGCACAGGAAACACGAGGCCCAGGCAGCCCACACCCCGGGTCGGCCACGGCTGCGGGACGGGCAGGCCCTCTGAGCCCTCTGAGCCCCCGGTGTGGGGCCAGGGCCGGCGCACAAATGCTCTGGGGAGGAGCCTGCCTGTGGGTGCTGCGGCTGAGGGAGGATGGTCCCCCACAGTAGAGGCCACCCTGCGAACCCCGGCAGGAGCGGGAGGCAGGTCCAGAATGGGGGCTACTCACTCCCTCTTTACAGAGGGTGGGGGCTTTGACCAGACGAGGAAGCATCAGGGATCATCAGAGGAGCAAAACCCAGCTCCCCGTTGGGGTGGGGCTGTACTGGGCACCCCATTATCACGAAGAGGCAGAGGGCCTCGTGGTGCTTTCTGCAGGTGGCCTTCCCCTCCTCTTGAGCTGCTGGGCCTGCAGCCTCAGGAAGGGCCGAGAACGCAGCCTGTCCGTCTTCCCTCCTTCCCTCCCTCCCTCCCTCCCTCCCCCTGTCCCATTCAGGGTGGACTGTGGCTGCAGGGACATTAAGAGCCAGCACAGAGAAGGCACCTGACCTTGGGGAGGAATGTGGAAAATGTCTGCAGCTTGGAGCGGAAAACCCCCACCTAGGGCCCAGGAATGTGGGCTCCCAGCCAGGCAGCCTCCCTTCCAGTGCCCCCCAGGGAGATGTGCCTGTGCTTGGAAGGGAAAGGGGGGAGGAGGTACAGGGTCCAGGAATGACACAGTTGGGGGTCCCCTTGTGAAACGCCTGCCCTGGCCGGTGTGCTTAGTGGTTAGAGCCCTGGCCTACACATCTGATATCCCTAGCCCTGGTCAGAGTGAGTGCAAGAGAGACAGCCAGTGCATATGTCTCTCTCACATTGTTTCTTACTCTCTCTACCTCCCCTTCCTCCTGACTCTCTGAAAAAGCAATGGGAAAAACAACAGAAATGCTGCCCTGCCCGTGGTACCAGCATCGTGCCCTTTCTGAGCTTGTGAGGGCCTGGTCCCGGCTCCTGGAGTGCCCTCATGGAGACAGCTAAACTTTGACTCCTCAGACCCACAGAATGTCAGAGTCCTTTGCAAAGAGCAGCTGCTGCACCTCTCCCATCGCACAGATAGGGAAACGGATGCCCGGGGGAAGGGGAGTTGGCCACGGGTACGCTCACCAGGGGCCAGGGCTTTGGGGCAGGTGCCCTCCCCATACTCTCTTGCTTCTGTAATGCTGGCAGCCAGCATCCTTCTCCTTTTAGGGAGACTCAAGCTCCCACGGTGTTCTTGCCGGGAACCCAGTGCCTTCTGCGGTAGACGCAGCCAGAGGGCCTGGCCTCTGTGCGAACGAAGGCCCTGCCCCAGCTCTGGCTAGACAGAACAGATAAGGCCACGCGAAGGCCAGCAGAGGCCCCTAGGGACTGAACCGAAGACGTAAGGAGTATGCTGCCCTCTCCTGGCCACCTCTGGGCAGGGCTGCTGCTGTCCAGGCCTCCGGCTGCTTGTCTTCTCCCAGCTAAGAAAATCCCCGTCCCCTCCTGTGGGAAAGGTTAGAAGAGGTAGGCTGAGCAAAGTAGATGGTCCCTTGTTCCACGCAGGATCCAGAGGAAAAAGACTAACAGGTGAGGCCGGTGTGTGTTCCCCACCACAGCGCTGGAGAGGGGGGCGGGACTCAGGCCTTCCACGGAGACCCATGGAGACAGCCTAATCCATCCACACCAAACAGGAAGGGTGAAAATTTAGAGGATATTTATTTCTCCTAAGGTCCACAGCTGGCAGCCGCTGGCCCTCCCGTCCCAGGGGATTTCTCTCTCCTTTTCGGAGAAATCCCCTCTCTTCTCGGAAGTGCTCACGGGGAGGCCGGGGTCGGAAGAGAAACCATACACGACACCCCAGAGCCTTAAAAAAAAAAACAAAGCCACAAACAACCTCCTCCACACAAGCACACGCGCACACAAAATAAATAGACACATGAAAGGGGAGCCTCGCGCCTCCTGCCCTGGCTCCGAAGGCTGCTGGGGAGAGGGGCTGGGTGGCGCTGCCCGCTCCGCCCGGCCAGGATTTACCCGGAGGCTAACTGGTATGGAAGTGCTTGACAGCCACGCATAAGCCCTGGCTTCCGAGAGAGGACGGGGTTGGGCCTCTCCCGGGGGCTCTGTGGGGAAAGAGGACAAATGAACAAATAAATAAATAAATAGAGCCCCAGGCGCTCCCAGGGGCCTAAGGGCGTAGGCTGAGGCTCAGGGCCCCTGGGGCCTGTTTCCCTGAAAAGAGCAGATCCAGTGACGGGGGCCGGAAAGAGGAGGGGAAAACGCCAGCCCAAAGTCACACCCGCCAGGCCTCCAGGGCCTGCATCCTCTAGCCCCCACAAAGGGCCAGGCCAGAACCCAGCCTCACACCAGCTCTGGAGGAAGGAGGGGTGGGCTGAACCTTCTCTCTGGCCCAGCCCAGCAGGTGCCCAAGGCCGGGAAGGCCCTCCCTCTCTCTGGGGCCAGCAAAGCCTCCGAAGGAGCAGGGACAGCTCCCCCCCTCCCCCCCCACGGGTGGGCTCTTGCTGGGGAAGCTGAGGCACCAGCCCGCTCCTGCTCCTACGCTCACGGGCCTTCCTGCCCGGCCGCCTCCAAGGCAGCTGGGAGACATCCTTGTGCAAATGTAAGCAATCGAAACAGTCCCTGCCGGTGTCCTCCTCTGCTCCTTTTGGCCACACATGTCCCCACCACCTCTGGAGGTCCCCTTCTAGCCAACAGGGAGGAGAAGGTGACAGACAGAAGCAAGAACAGAGGAGGGCAGGAGCTGCTGGAATGAACAGTTTGGTCCGGAGGCCAAACCAGACGCATGAAAAAAGTCCACCAAGGGAGCGGGGAGTCCCAAGGTCCCTCCTGGAGAGCCATGGCCAGACGGGGGCCAGGGGAGCACGGGGTTGGGGCCAAACCGGCCGCTCAGCTGGGCAGCAGCACGTGCTCCAGGAGGTAGGTGAGGGAGTCCCAGTGCTTCCAGATGAGGAAGAGCGTGAGGACCAGGAGGGCAGTGCTGGTGATGCGCAGGCGCGTCTTCATGAGGGGCGTGATGAAGTTGGCGATGGTGGACACGAACACCAGGAGCACGGCCATGAGCGCCAGGATCACGTTGATGAACTTGCCCAGCAGCGCCCTGGCGTTGGCGTTCTCCACGCCCTCCAGCTGCACCACCTGCTGCTGCTGCTGCTGCAGCTCCAGCTTGGTGACCCGGGTCAGGCAGGACTCCACGGCCTCCTGCGGGGACAGAGGGCGGGCCCATGAGAGAGGGACCGTGCCCAGGCTCCCCCTCCGCAGGCCAGGCGGGCACAGGCCGAGCAGGCGGCAGCTGTGGGCAGAGCCCTATATGACTATCTGGGGAGGCTGGGAGAAGACTGGTCTTGATGAGTGTGGGAAGGGGGAGGAGCTGGCCCATTCCCAGCTTCCTCTTGAGGCTCTGGGAACTCCCATCATTCACGGGCAAGGCTGCCATCACAGGGCTGGGGCACTGGCAGCCCTCGCCAGTCAGCTTGCCTCTACACCAGTGTTTCCCAAAGTGTGGTACGCGTACCCCCAGGGGTACGGGAAGAGTTTGATGGGGGTACGCGTTGCACCGGAGTTTGGTGGGGATATGCACTGCACCGTGCTTAGCTGCGCCTAATTCTATGCTCTCACGAGTACGAGGGGTACTCAGCGTTACGAAAATTATAGAAGGGGTACACATATGTCAAAAGTTTGGGAAACACTGCTCTACACAGTGCATACTCCGCCTATGCCGCTCCGCACTTATCTCCATCGACCCCGCTCTTACCTCCATCCACCCCGTCCCGCACTACCCGCTTCCCCCACGTGTCCGTCTGCCCCCGCTGATGCAATAGCCTGTGCCCGCCGTCCCCCACGTGGCAAAACCTCCCCCTCTGGCTGCTGCCAGCTGCCAGCACACCCGGGGCTTCCCCAAGAAGGGTCCCTGGTTATACCTGGATGTCCCGAGCCCTCTCGTAGGACTGGTAGGCCACCTTCTCCTCCATGCTGGCCAGCTCCTGCTTCAGATTGCTCATCTCATTCTGGTGAAGCTCGGTCAGGTCGTTGAGTTGCTCCTCCAGCCGCTCATACCTGGCAGAGGGAGCGTGTGTGACACCAGGCCTGGCTCTCGAGCCCCCCTCCTCTCCCCAGGACCAATTCCATTCATTCTCGGCAGTCACTCAACCCAACCCCTCTGTGTTCGGCGACACCAATGAAAGCTACTGCTCACACTGCACTTCACCCAGGTTGCCTCCTAGGATCATCATCACAACCACACAGGTTAAGTACTTGTCACCCCCATGTTGCAGATAAAAAGACTGAGGCCCAGAGAGGTTAAGGAATTTGCCCCGAGCTAAGATGCTCTCCTGGGGACCGGGCACACAGGGATACAGAGTCACAATCCCTGCTCTGCAGGCACAGATATTGGAAGCTGAGCCTTAGGTGGGGGTGGTTAGTTCTCAGGCAGGATTCCAAACCTTCTTCATATCTACAAACAGGAAGTGTGCTGCTCGGGCCAGGTAGCTCAGTTGGTGAGAGCTCCCAACATGATGGTGCTGATTTGATCTCCAGGTAGGCGCATACAAGAATCAACCAATTAATATTAAGCTGTCTATATTGTGTGTGTGTGTGTGTGTATAAAAAAAAAATTAAAAAAAAAAAAAAAGAGCCGGGACGGGTTTGGCTCAGTGGATAGAGCGTCGGCCTACGGACTGAAAGGTCCTGGGTTCGATTCCGGGCAAGGGCATGTACCTTGCTTGCGGGGTGTGCAAGAGGCAGCTGATCGATGATTCTCTCTCATCGATGTTTCTAACTGTCTATCCCTCTCTCTTCCTCTCTGTGAAAAATCAATAAAATATATTAAAAAAAAAAAAAAAGAATTAACCAATTGCGGGACCAGGGCCCAATGCACACCGGCCATGCCGGAAACTCACACCCTTTAACCTCAGAGGTCTGGTTTCATTCCATCCTCACAGGCATTTCAAGATTCATGCTCTTCCCGCTCACAGACAAGGAAACCAGGCGCTGAGTGCAGTGAGGCTTTGTCAATAGTAAACAGTAGCCGAAACTGGTTTGGCTCAGTGGATAGAGCATCGGCCTGCGGACTGAAAGGTCCCAGGTTCGATTCTGGTCAAGGGCATGTACCTTAGTTGCGGGCATATCCCCAGGAGGGGATGTGCAGGAGGCAGCTGATCGATGATTCTCTCTCATCGATGTTTCTGACTCTACCCCCCTCTCTTCCTCTCTGTAAAAAAAACCAATAAAAAAAAAAAAAAAATATATATATATATATATATATATATATTAAAAAAAAAAAAAAAAAAAAAAGGAAACAGCCAAGACTGGTTTGGCTCAATGGATAGAGCGTCGGCTTGGGGACTGAAAGGTCCCAGGTTCAATTCTGGTCAAGGACATGTACCTTGGTTGTGGGCATATCCCTGGTAGGGGGTGTGCAAGAGGCAGCTGATCGATGTCTATCTCTCATCGATGTTTCTAACTCTCTATCTCTCTCCCTTCCTCTCTGTACAAAATCAATAAAATATATATTTTTTTTAAAATAGTAAACCGTAAACAAACAGCAGAGCTGGGATTTGAACCCGGGTAACCTGACTCCGGAGTCAGTGCTCCACACCACAGGAGAGGCCATGTAGCTGGCCCCTGCCTCAGTTTCCTCTTCTGGACGCTGAGCACAGAAAATCAGGGGATGCTCACAGCTCCCGAGACAGGCAGAGCCTCCCTCCCGTGGGGCCGTACTCCCGTCTCCCTGCCCGGGCCGGAGACGGCTTCGGGCAGCGCAAGGCCTGCGGATGCTCTCCCACCAGCTCCCCGGCCCTGCGTCCGAGCCCTGGGCCCCGCGCCTCAGGCCGGGGGTGGCCGGGCGGAGGCCAGGGCGGGGGAGCACCCACCTGTAGCGCTCCTCCTGCAGGCACTGGGTCATGTAGGTGTAGTCCCTCTGCAGCTGGGACTTCAGGTCCTCCATGGAGTCCTCCAGGTGCGACTGCCCCTCCTTGATCTCCCGCAGCTCGTCCAGCAGGGTGTCCAGGTTCCCGGGCGCCCCCCCGTACAGCGTGTTCGACTTGGGGCTCCCCAGCACCCCGGCGGGCCCGGCCCCGGAGTTGCTGCCGGCCCCGGCGGAGCTGGCGCTGGCGCTGGAGCACTCGTCGTCGCTGCCGTACTTGGGGCTGGACACGAGCGTGGCGCTGCCGCTCAGCGCCCGGGCCGCCTCCTCGGGGGGCCCGTCCTCCAGCGGGTCCTTCAGGTGGGCGATGTTGTCGGCGCTGCCGAACTTGTTGCGGATCAGGCTGGCGAACTCGCGGGGCTTGGACACCACGGCGCTGTGGGTGGCCTGCGAGAGGCCCGAGAGGCTGCCCCGCACGCCCTCCACCACGCCGCCCCCGAAGCCGCTGATGCCCGCGCGCACGTTGGCGCCCACGTCCTTCAGGCCCTGCTGCATGTCCCGCAGCACGTCCTTGGGCTGCCGCGAGGGCCCGTTCTGCTCGATCTCCCGCAGCCGCCGGCGGTAGTGCTCCAGCTTCTTGTGCAGCTGCGCGATGGTCTGGGCCGACTTCTGGTTCTTCTTCTCGAACACCTGCTTGATGCGCGACACCTGCTGCTTGTCCGCGTTGTTGGCCAGCTTGAGGTACTCCGCCACGTTGTCGTCCCGCGCCTCCTGCTCGATCTTGATCTGCTCCGTGATCTTCAGGATCTTCTGGTGCAGGTGCTCGATGGCGGCCTTGGTCCGGTGGGGGTCGGGGGCCCCGTCCGGCACGTCCAGGCTGATGGGGCCGTCGGGGTCGCCGTGGCCGGGGCCGCCGGAGAGGCTCAGGCCCACGAGGTCCCCCTTGTCCACCTGCGGGGGGAGGGCGGGAAGGCAAGCAGAGGAAGCCTGGGTGAAACCACGAAACCACCGAGGGAGCCCCACACCCGAGGGCCTGGTCTCTCTACCCAGAAAGTGGGGGGCAGATGACCGGGGGGTACCGCAGGAAGAGGGTTCCGCGTGACCACGGAATCCCTGACAGCTGCCGCTCAGCCACCGGCCACCTGTCATCTAGCGGATCCCACAACGGCCCTGAGTGCAGTCTGGGCGGAGGTGCTCCTTCCCCCTGGGGCAGAGGTCACACAACGAGGAGCCGCCAGGCCTCCCGCCCACACGGACCACGCGGGGCGGAGGCTGCCCTGGGGTCACAGGGTTGGATTCTCAGGGATGACACAAGCCGTTCCTCCTGACCCAGCCTCCCCCCGCAGGCTCCTGCCTTGAGTGGCCTCCTCCACAGACCTGACCGGAGCCCACACGTTGGCCCCAGCACTGGCACAGGAAGCTCCCCGCCCTCCCCACCCCGGCTTCTCTAAGGCAGCTCCGCGGGCCGCCCCACCTCGGCGGCACCCTCCCGGCCGGCCCGTTACCTTCCAGCTCGCTGGGACTGTCAGCAGCCTCTTCCGCTTCATGGTGGTGGGAGCGCCCGACCCTGCTGCCCAGGCCCCCAGAACTGGGAGGGGAGCACCCCCCGCCACCCTGCTGGCCAGGCCCCCAAAGACTCCGTTCCAGAGGTAACCCACAGGCCGAGGGAGGCAGGCCCAGAGGTCCCCCAGCTGCCCTGCTGGGAAGGGGCTGGACGTGCAGGAAAGAGGTGACAGCCCCGTCCTCACCGGCAGGCAAGCAGGCCCCTGACCCTCAGCATGAAGGAAAGAGAGACCGATAAGGCAGGAAGGGAAGGTCACAGCGGACAGGAAAGATGGGAAAGGCAGGCCCGACAGGGGCGGGCAGGCCTGGAGCTCCGTTCTCCAGGGCCGGCTCCCTCAGCCTGCGGGAGGCTCTCCCTCCACAGCCGAGTCTTGGTGTCTTATCGCCATGCAACAGCGGAAGCAGCAGGAAATGGCTCAACCCCATGTATTTTTACACACCCCGACTCGGCCGGGTCACATCATCATCGCTTTCTATGTGTGTGGGGGGCAGGGGCGGGGCGAGGTCTATGTGGGGGAAGGGGTCAAACGCAGAGCACGTGGCCCGGTCACATGCTCTAGACCTGGAAACAGCCCATGCCAATGGCGGGCAGAAGTCACCCAATGCGACGTCTGCCGAGGTACAAAGCAGTGAAAACACGACGGAGAACAATGGCCCCACCACCCTCGGGAGCCAGGCAGGGGAGGGCGGCTCCCCTGTGGGCTTCCTCTGGGCCCTTTCAGGTCGTGGTTCCACTGGGAATGCTGGGGACACCGAGGTCCGTTCCCCACCTCTCGTGCAGTCAGGACTTCCCTCTCATATTTGCTTGAGGTCTAATGGCCCCACCAGTTTGACTTATAACCGAGCCTGCAGCTAGCCACTTCCTCCTGGGTGTTCCCTGCAGTGATGGCCAACAGCCCACCTCTCAGTGTCCTGCCCCTCGGAGTCCCCCCCTGTGACACAGGCCTGTGGTGAGGGTCACACAGGACTGGGCGTGGAGTGATCAGTACTGCTCTTCTGCAGAGCATACAGAAGGCGCTCATCAATGCTGTCAGGTCTACGCAGTACAATCCTCTCTTAGGGGAGGAGTGACACATATTTAAGAGATTATGCCAACACGTTTACTCAGTACTGATGCTGCGATGTAGCCAGTGGACTAGACAACATTCTCTCTGTAACACGTCGCTTGACAATGAAGGAACCTGACCCTCTCAGAAGGCCACTGTGCTTTCCAGAGAAACACATATTGAACGACCCCATTTCTATGAAACATCCAGCACAGCTAAATCCACAGAGACAGAAGGCAGGTTAGTGGTGGCCAGGGCTGGGAGGGAGAAATGGGGCGTGGCTGCTTGATGGGTATAGCCTGCCTTCGGGAGGGATGACCATGTTCTGGAACTAGAAGTGATGGCTGCACACCTGGGTGTGGAGGGTCCTCCCACCTGTGAGCCTGGGCTGCGGGTCCAACCAAAGTCCTACTGTGGAGGTATGTGGGTCCTTCCTCGTACAGCCCCCTTCTCAGTAGTTAGTGCAGAGGTTCTTTCTAACTCATTGCCAACCCGCTGCCTGGGGCTGGGCGAGTGAAAAGAAGAGCAAAACCGGTCACTCAGCTCCCGGCTCCTAGCAGATGGAACCCCAGGGTCCCCCAGCCCAGAGCACGAACCACCCCTCACCTGGCCCAGGCCCCCTCCCCGCTCTCTCCTGCCTGAGAGGGGCTGGACACTCCACGGGTACCCGACCCCGGCATTGCCCCCTGCGCACAGGCTGGGCGGGCTCTAAGAAGAGGAGGCTGTGGAGGGGGCCCCTTCTATGCCAGGCCACGAGGGAGGCCATGCCACACTCCCTGTGCAGGGTGCCCACCAGCCAGGGCCCGCGCCAAAGACTGTACCCCACACAGGGACTGAGCTCCAGGAAGTGCGGGTGAACATCCTGGAAGAGCTAGAATTGGGACGCTGTCTCCAGTGTCCAGGGGGCCCTACTTGCCCTTTTCCTCTCCCTGCCCCTGGGAGACCCCGAAGCACCCCTGCACATGGCTCACAGGACTCTCCTCCCTGCCCTCTTCTCCCCGTCCTCCTCTCTTTCCCCCCCTCCCCCCGCTCCCCTCCCCACCTCTAAGCAAAACCAGATTAGGCACCGGGCCAGATTATAGGAGCTCCCCAGCCCTGGCTCCCTGGCCTCCTCCCTCCTCCCAGGCCTGAGCTCATGTCCTCGTGTTAACCCGGCCCAGGCACGGGACAGCAGCCCTTCCTCCACACACCAGCCCGGCGGCCCGGACCGGAGGCGGGGAGCACAGGGGAGACATTGTGGAACAGAGAGCATCCCGGCTCACGGGGAGCCGCGCGGGAGGGAAAGGGTCCTAACGACGGTGTGTGCCCCACACCTGAGCGCCCAGTTCCCCAGAGACTGCAGAGGGGCCTGGCCTGACCCCCACCCCCAGGGACCGGCAGTGACCTCCTAGGCTTACAAAGAGCTCCTGTCCGGTCCCCAGAGCCGGCTGAGAGAGATGGGCCTTCGGTCCCGCCCGGGTGGAGAGCCAGCACTGAGGTGGGTCGCTCTTACACACGAAAAGAGCGCCCGGGGTGCCGATGCCTCCCTTTAAGAGGACGGCAGCCTGTCAATCAGGAAGAGGGGGCCCTGAGGTGCCCTCCCAGGGCCGCGAGAAGGGGGTCTGTGGCACCAGGGGAACTGCCTTGTCTGTGGGCCTGGCCACGCGGGTCCAGGTCCACTCAGGACACTGCCCAGAGCAGGGCCTGGGCTTCCAGGGGCTAAAGGCCCAGCCGGCGAGTGAGCCGGGAGCTGCCTGCATCTGCCGAAACCGGTTTTGCTCAGTGGTAGAGCGTCGGCCTGCGGACTGAAGGGTCCCAGGTTTGATTCCAGTCAAGGGCATGTACGGGCACATCCCCCGTAGGGGGTGTGCAAGAGGCAGCTGATCGATGATTCTCTCATGAATGCTTCTAACTCTCTATCCCTCTCTTCCTCTCTGTAAAAAATCAATAAGGTATTTAAAAAAAAGATGCCTGCAGCTGCTCACTTCTGGCCCCGTGACTGACGGAGCACCCCTCTCAGGATGGAGGACCCCCAGATTCCCTTTTCCTATGAGTTCCCAGAGGGAGAGGGAGGGGGATAAGCCAGGCCAGGCGGAGTGGAAAATCCACAGCCGGCGACGATCCTTCAGCGCGGAGAGGCAGCTGGGAGGGAGGGAACCTGACATCTCCCCTTCCACCCTGGCACTCCGGCATCAGGGGCTGCCCCCCTTTCACCAAACCAGTGGGCACAGCTGCTGGGCTGCAGGCTCTTTCTCTTCCTGGCAAATACATACGGCTTCACCGCTTAACCGGGCACTTCCGGTGGAGACAGGAATGGAGGAGGGGGGGGAGAGCACACCAGCCCACCCAGTGGTCCCACTAGCGCCTGAGAGCCTCAGCTTTTCTCCGGAGGGCTGGAGGCAAATGCTTAGGTGTCGGGGTACACAGGGGGCAGCAGGGGTGTACACTTGGCCTGTTCCCCGGGGTAAAGTGGGGCGAAAAACTGCAGCAACATCCCCACCTCCACACGGGGTCCTAGAGGGGCGGGGCAGAGGCACAAGGTTCCTGGCTCTCCGGGCCTCGGTGGCTCACGGGCAGCCTCACGCTGCCACAAGGATTTCGCGGTGCAGAGCACACAGACAGGAAGCACCCTCATCATTTCATGCTGCACCCACGGTCTCCAGGCAGCGCCACTGGCTGAGGCTCTAATCAGCCTCCTCCTGCAGCCAGCGACTCTCCCTCCCCCCCTCCCCCCCTCAGGTTCCTTTTCCTTCCTGGGGACCCCCCTCACCTAGCCCTCAGCTGCCAGGCCTCTCCGCTAGGTCCACCCCTGGGTTCTGGTCAAAACCCACCCTCCACTCCGTGGCCTCCTTCCCTGTCCTGCTGACAACAATGCCCTTTTGTCCACACAAAAGTCCCCTCTCTCCTCACGCCCACAGACCCGACAGGCCCCCGAGCTGCCCTCCTACCCGGGGGCCTCCTCGGAGTTCCCCCAAAGCTGTCAGCACCCCACAGGCTGCTCCTTCTAGACTCTCCCACGGGCCCCCTGGGTCAGTGCTCACACTGACCTCACACTCCCCTCTCCCTGTGTCTCCACGGAATAAACAACCACAACCAGGAACGCCCTTCTAAGGCAACTTCCCTCCGCTCCTCCGGCCCCGGGGGAAGGGACACGTGGCTACTGGTTTCTGGAAGCATCAGTGCCGAGGTTCACTCGCCTCCTGCACCAGTTCCCCCAGAGGCCCTCCCAGCACTGGGCAGCCTGAGCCTGGAGGCCCAGGGCCCGCCCCTCCTCCCTTCTCCCTCCACAAAGAGTTCTCTATAAGGAATCTGAGGAGAGCCGCACCCTGAGACCCAGCACAGCCGCCTGACACACTGCCCACG